GATGGTACGCCTGTATTTGGGTTAAGGCTGAGGAAATTTCCTGGGGTGAGTGTGAATCCAGAGCTGAAGTCAGCTACTACGTAGACTAATGGCCGGGAATTGATTACTGCTTCGACTTCCTTTACAACAGTTTCCAGTGGAACTATAGTAAGACAAATCTTCCGATACTCTTTCGAAGAGACTGCTTGACAAGTCCGATAAGTCTTTCTTGGAACACCACCCATCCAGGGGGGCCAGTTCAATGATGAAGCTCCACTTTGTGCCTTCGTTGGCCAGGTAACTTTGTGTGTCAGGACTTGTCATGGGGTGTTGCCATGCTTCTTCAACAGTCGACTTTACCACTTTGAACTGGAAAGCATTGTCGGAAATTATCTCCTTCGGTTTTTCACGTGTGGCAATGAATCTTCTTAGGCAGAACAGGAATTGTTCAGCGGTCATGTCATGAACGACTTCTAAGTGAATAGCCCTAACAGCTAAACAAGTAAACAGGCACAACCAGAATTTTTGGGTTGCTGATGGCTGACTGACTTTCACATACAAGGGTTCAAGATAGTCATGTAATGTTTCAAGGTGTTTTTACAATCTTCAACTGGGACGACTTCCACAATTGCCTTTTGCACTTGGTCCTGGATTACGGCATCTTATTTCTGGAGATGTTTGTCATTTCGTGACGGTCTATTGACTTGGGATCTCAATCTTCCCATTGCCAGTTCATAATTGGTTGGTAATGGTGGAGATTCTTCTTTCCAAGGCCAGGTTACTTGGTACCCTCCGTCTTCAAAGTGGATTGTTTCGTTGAATATTTGTAAAGCTTTGTCATCTTCATTTTCTTGTACAGGCTCTCTGATCCCCAGGGTTTCAAGCTTCCAAAACTCTTCAAGTTGTGTCTTTTGTGCAGCTAATGGCTGCTTGTCATCAGACCGAGCACACAGATGTACACTGATAGGACTGGACGTGTAGGTCAGCATTGAGATGGAGCTGTCTGGTTTGTCATCACGACACTTCACTCTGCCTGTTAGGATCCATCCCAACTTGGATTCCGTGAGGTTTATTCCTGGACTGACTGCTTTCATGGCAATGTCACCAGAGAAAATATCACAGTAATAATCATTTCCTAGCAACAGTTCTATGTTGGCAGTTTCTGTAGTTGAGGGTACTGAGTCGGCAAGGGGGGTATCCTTCAGTAGGTGACTGAATTTCTGTGGGTTGAAATACGTTCGTTGTAGGTTACCGGTTATCGTGGGTACAACATTGACTCTTAAATGCAGAGATGATCCACCCGTTGTTAAAAGCCGCAGTTCAGTGATAGGAGTGTGAAACTCTCTGGGTTTTGATACACTGAATGTATACACTGTTAGTGTTTCTGATCCTGTGATTGGCAACTGGAGTTTTTCTGCTAGTTCGTTGGTGATGCAGGTCCTTTGGCTGCGAACGTGGTTTTTCTTTATTCTCAACTGAACACAACGATTTCCACAGAGGAAAAATCCTACTTCTTCTCGCACATGGTCTGAAAGGAGCGGTCTATAATCTCGTGGAGTGGTCGCTGGGCCCTCCGCGATATTGAGTGCCTTGAGGACACCCAACACTGTTCACATAAGCGAGTAATTTGTCGCATCCATTTTAGAACCATGTTCACCTGCCTTGAGTAAACAATTTATCGCTGTTCTATTAATGAAAGCACAACCACGCTTCTAACAAGAAAATTCTCGGGAGCAAAGATAACTGGAATGGTCATTTTAAGGCATTTCTGCAAAAGGCAGTTTTATTCCATTGTTTTCAAAGCTTAAAAACAAACGCAATAATTAGATCCATCTCATGGCTCAGGGGATGCTTAGAACAGGCATAAAGATACAATTGAGCTACGACCGGGGTTCCTAAATGCTGTTCTTAGGAACGTCACTATACTCTTTAAATCCTATCTACAGGCGCCCCCTACAGATTTCTTTTATTTTCTTTTTCTTTTCCTTTTTTTGTACTCAAGTTCTAGGGGAGATGTCGGAGAATGCAGTTAAGGTATTGAGCAGTTAATTGTGACATCCCATCTCTTTTTTTTCCTTTTCATTTTTAAGAATTTTTTTGCTCATTCTCCATGCAAAAACCACGGCACCTGCCAGTCGGGATTCACAACAAAACGATATCGATGCTTATGTGCGTCTGGATTCACTGGCCACGATTGTGAAAAAGGCAAGACTTAAAATAATAAAAATTCAATTTTGTACAGTTTATTACAACACGGGGGGGGCTATTCCTTCGGACGGTTTAAGATTCAAAATCGGCTCTACTTATGAAACGAAATTTCAATTTTATTGCTCTTTCTTTAGAAAGGAACTCAACCCAGCCCCATTATGTGTTTTCAAGTTGGCATGTCACTCCAGCCTATTAAAGGCATTCCGTGCAGGGAAAAGTGGGGTTACGAATTTTCCTCTCCACAGCTCCGCATCTTTTGTTCTAACTTGCTTATTCACACACCACTGCTGACAAAAAGCATTTCACGTCATACCTCCTCTCCCCCTCCACTTCCTGCGAGCTCTATCACTTAGTATTTTGACCTTATTTAGACATCAACGAGTGTGCTACAGATACCCACAACTGCGGCAATGAAAACGTCGTTTGTCAAAATACCAAAGGATCATTCAGGTGCATTTGTAAACGTGGATTCACCGGGGATATACATAATTGCACAGGTAAAGAACATTGTAGAAACACAAGTTTTATAATCGTAATTATAAAGTACTCCAGCCATCGCATCTAAGAAACAAAAGTTTTCCCCCTACACAACTGGATTAACAAGCGGTAGAATTGGTTTTGCATTGTACATTAGCCCCTCGTTCTCCTCCTCTCCCTCCTAAAGACAACAACGATCATGGATACAATCCCTTAATTATATTTAGGGCATCAAAAACTGTGTTCTAAATTCTCACAACTGTAGTGATGATGCCAATTGCATAAATACCAAGGGATCTTACATGAACAACTACATTTCTAATTATCCTGGATTCAGATAGGATGGATATGAATGCAAAGGTAAAGTCGTACAGTGAATCTTTTCGATCGAATAAACTTTCATGGATAACATGGCAACAAGAAAAACAAGAATAGACTGGAATGAAAAGGTGGTACGTTTCGAACCCGGCAAAGACATAGAGAAAGATGCTTTTTGTCTCGTCACGAGCGTGGGAGACCGAGAAAATCGCGAGCCCGCCTGGGGAATCAAACCTCAGACCACTGAGCCACAGAGACTCTGTGGTGAGCGGAGTCCATATATGACACGCGTCCTGCATACTGCTAGGATTGGCCGGGTTAATTTTTTTGCGCTTTATGTCCTGAGACGAAGTCGAGATCCATTAAAACGGAACAAAACGGGGCTAACGTCCGGCCATATTGACCAAACAAGCTTGGGCAATAAAGGATTTATAGTATGGTAAAATTTTTTCGCTTCATAAGAAACAAGAATGAATTGTCTTTCGTAAGAGTTAGGAATGGAGACCAATTTCTCTTGTAGCACGATGAACCCACAAAAGTCGTATGTGTCTTCTTTGTTTTGACTGTCTCCTCCCGCTTTTTGCGTCTACATCGCCGACAAAATTTAAAAAAAAAACACGAACTCGGTAACTTTGATTCACGCAGTATTTGTTCTTTACGGGATCACAATGGGAAAGAGGCCCATCTTGCCCGCTTTAATCGATATTATTAAGAGCCCAAGCCACTTTCATCAACACCTATCTCGGTGGAAAATTATTGCAATGGACTTGAACTCTCCTATCCGCATTTTTCACACGCCTCTAATGAGAAATTGCATAACACTTTACATCATTACCCCTCGTACCACAATAATTCTTTAGTATTTTGTCGTAGTTCTGTCGATTCTATTTCAGACATCAACGAGTGTGTTATGAATACCCACAGCTGCAGTGATATAAATGCTACTTGTAAAAATACCAATGGATCGTTCAAGTGCATTTGTAATCCTGGATTCAGCGGGGATATCGACAATTGTACAGGTAGCAACATTGTTCATAGCATGATGCATAGTCGACCAGTCTAATTTATGGTAGAAACATGCGTTTTATATTACTAATTATATGGAAATTCGAGTATCATAGTTAGGATAATTTAGCTTTTCTCCCGTCAGAACTGGATTTACATACAGCAGACTTGATTTTCCACTGCAAATTAGCAACCCCCCTTCCCCATCCCCTCCTCCTTTTGATGATAACAATCATAGGTATCGCACTTTGATTTCATTTCCCCTCCTTACTAGAGATGAAAACGATCATGGGTACAATCCATTTTATTTCATACTTTATTTCAGACATCGACGAGTGTGTTACAAATACCCACAACTGCAGCAAGAGCACCCACTGTACAAATACCGAGGGATCTTACAACTGCTCTTGTAATCCTGGATTCAGCGGGGATAGAGAAAATTGCACAGGTAATGACCATTGTTCAGAGCATGATGCCTAATCCTACCTAACCTGTGGTAGGAATTCGCGTTTTAAAATCCTAATTCTAAGGTACTTTGAGTATCAGATTTCAAATATTAAGCCTTACTTCCTGCAGGTCTGGATTAACATGCGGCAGAGTCAGTTTTCCTTTGCAAATTAGCAATACCCCTCCGCCACCTATCTCCTTCCTTTGAAGATAAAAATCATGGTTATGGTCCGTTGACTTTATTTCAGACACCGACGAGTGTGTTAAAAAAACCCACAACTGCAGCAACAACGCCAACTGTACAAACACCGAGGGATCCTACAACTGCTCTTGTAATCCTGGATACGGCGGGGATGGACATAAATGCCAAGGTATAATCCAGCAGAGCATGACATGACATGATTTAAGATAAGTACATTTTATGTCTTCTTCTTTGGGGTAAAAATCAGTTTAAGCCACCCCCATTGGTAAGATAAAGTCTGTTCACGAGCCAAATGGCCCATCAAACCTGCACTTAACTCCGCTTTCCGTAGGATGAAACGACTATGAGTACTACTACTCCCCCATGGGTAGGATGTAGGGCTACCCCGTAGGGTTACCCCCAGCCTTAAAGTCGCCGGTACCCTTTTAAACACCTGGGTGAAGAAAGTCACCATGCCAGTCAGGGTCGAGCGCACCTACCATGAGGCCACTACACCTCTCACACTGGAAGTGAGGTTAAAAGTCTCTTTTTCTTACATCACCTTGTGTTTGATTGTTTGTTTTTTTTGTTTTTTTTCAATGGAAGCCCCAATACCGATACGCTCTTCTTTGTAAATCTTCAGTACTGTAAGTGACAAGGACTGCGGATTTACTTTCAGACATTGACGAGTGTTCTCAAAACAGCCATAACTGCAGCGATATAACTGCCACTTGTAATAATACCAAAGGATCTTTCAAGTGTATTTGTAAACCAGGATTCATTGGTGACGGATACAGCTGCACAGGTACTGAACTGTATTCAGAACATGATGCTGTTCGAATCAGCGCGAAAAACCCTTTAGAACTGGCCGGATTAAAGCACTATAAATGGTAGCCTGATATGATTCGGAAGGTGTTACTCCGGTAGAATCATTGCTGAATGGATGACTGAATGATTTTGATCAACGCAGAAAACCATAAAAACTCTGAAACTCCATGCACAGCTTTAAAAGGTTTTATTCAATCCTCGTGTACTTTTGGGATAAAATTAGTGATCAGGGACTCACCTCTCTGACTTGTCTGTTTGTGAAACTAATATGAGCTTGAGCTGCAACTATGAACTTCTGAAAAGCAACATTTTTCCCTCAGCTTTTATAGTGATCCTCTCTGGTTTCAGTTTCTCATTGTTATATTTTATCTCAATATTGGATATTAGTTGTTGGTTTCATTTTAGACGTGGACGAGTGTGGTCTTGCTGAGCTCAAAACATTTGCACCAACCTGATAATTAAAAAACTGTTACTTGCATTTTGTGCTCTAATCCCAAATTGAACCCTAAAAGGCTGTTGACAACTACCGTTCCCTTCTAAATACCTATTCTATTTTAAGAATCACACAAAACTTTCTATTTTTACTGATATCGTAACTAGTCAATAGCTTGCACAGTTAGAGACATGAAAATAGCAATATAGTGACAAAAGGAAAATTTTATTAAGGTGGCTGAACACAGCTTTTGATACCCGTATTTCTTTCACCATTTTCTCTAAAACCCTTGATCTCTCTGTCGCCAAAACTGGCACCAAGCAAGTTAACAACACAAACTTTGTTTTCTTGATAGTTAAGCTGACGTATGAGCCGTTGTCATGGCGACATGAATAAACATAAACAGGCCTCTAAAATCGGTTTTCTTCATTTGTAGAAAATCTTGTCATTAGTTTTTATTTATAATTTACGTGCGACGAGCTTGTAATGATACTTACAAGTTCACACCATCTTGCTAACAATTTTACAAGGGGATCTTTAACTATCCCTTGTTGAAGGCTCACTCAATTATCTAGAATTTCCTTCCTTAAAAATCATTTTTTTTCGATAATCCGGTTAGTTATTTCCTAAAGTATTTTAGCGCGAAATTTCGTTAAATTCAATTTTACAAGGGGATCTTTAACTATCCCTTGTTGAAGGCTCACTCAATTATCTAGAATTTCCTTCCTTAAAAATCATTTTTTTTCGATAATCCGGTTAGTTATTTCCTAAAGTATTTTAGCGCGAAATTTCGTTAAATTCTAATGAGTGTTTCTTAAGAAATATACATATTTCCGAGAAAGCAATTTTCTATTCAATCGCTATTTTTTACTTACTACGCATGCGCTGCATTTAACTGGATTCTCTCGCTAAGGACGAAAAAGCTGAGGGTGCTTTGCACCGTTAACTTTTCTAACATGTCTTTGTAAAAAAAGATTAAAGCCCTCAATACACTGCGCCAACTATAGAGAAAAATAGCACAGATAGTGCGGATACGTGTTAAGTAAATAAAACGACCACTCTATTGACCGCATGTTTTTTTTTTTTTGCAATCCTTGCGCGCGCGCTGAATTGCATTAGCAAAAGCGCAAGCGAAAACTGTGTTCAGCCACCTTAAAGTCTCCTTCCCTCTTAGCACCCCACCCCTCCTACCAGCGTTGCAGCCGTGTTAAAATTATTAAAATCATGGGCACGGCCTGTTGATTCTATTTAAGACATCGACGAGTGTGCCGAAAATATCCACAATTGTAGCAAGAACAACGCCACTTGTAGCAACAGCAAGGGATCGTTCAACTGTTCTTGTAATCCTGGTTTCAGAGGTAATGGATACAACTGCA